TATACAAAGTGAACAAGTTAACAATTTACCTGATTTAGACAGGTGACTTTCAGATCCATGGATGAGATCTCCAATGTTTGCTGCTCGATAACATCACTCAACTTGTAAGAAACCGTACCAAGGTGGTCAATTGCGTTGACCAGCGCACGTACAGCATAATCCTTCAAATTGTCCATGAACCTAGTGCAGAAATTAGAAAATCTGTAGCTTAAATTTACAATTTGAGTCGCCAAATAGAATACACTTCAATTTTTTCTTCTAATTAGCACGAAGATCAAGCAAAAGAGAAATATTGTGATTCGTAAAGTTGTCATTCTCGTTCGGATTGAACAAACATTCTCAAAGACTAAAGTTCATTGCAGATCAAATGATTCCTTTATATTAATCAGACAAGTTGGACCAAAATCTCACGTTTGCTTCTGCTCACTGTTCAGATATGATTTCTCACAGTACTCTGCAGCTGAATACAGTTGAGGCCTGAGGTTCTTCAGTTCCTGTAAAAATATAAGGCCCGCCTAATGATCAGACATGATTTGTGAATTATAAAGAAAGTACAAACACACAGAGCGAATGTGAATTCAAAAAACTCAAGCGATCTATGAAACTTTACGCAAAACTAACACAACTTTCAGTCCTTCTAACATCTGATCCATAACTCACAACCAAAACTTCACCTCGAAAAGTTAAATTACGAAAAAAAAACACACACTATACAAGCAGATTTACCTGTAGTGCCGTGACGAAGCTCTTACTTTTCTCCACCGACATCTCTTCAAACGACGCCGTTTGCTTCCCCGCCTCCATAGAACAACAAATCTCGGTCACGCACGCAAAAACCCACACATTCACGCTGAAATTCCGATCATCAAAACACTTTGTTTATCTCTATTTGAACGAGAATGGTACCTTGTGTTTCACCTGAAGCTTCGAGATGAACAAATTTATGGAGCAATTATGACGAGGAATTTCCAGTCTGGTTAGGATAGATTTGGAGTTAAGAAAAGCATATTTACAGAATAAAAAAGGGCTGTTCATGTGAAGTGTGTGTATGTGTGTGTGAAGCAACTCGAGGAATTACAGCTGTGAGCTGTCGATGTAAATTTGGACGGTAGGTTGTGCATAAGAGAAAAGCGACGTCGTTTGGACTTGGAATATTTTTAATTTTAAGGACCAATTGGACCGTGTTATTAAGTGGCACTGTATTATATGAACTATCATTGGTTTTGTCTTTATTGACTTTTTCTATTTTTCACCTCCTTCAAACTACTACCTCCTATTCTTTTTAAACTAGTACGTATCCCGTGCGATGCACGGGTATATAAATTTAGAGAATATTATAATTTGACATGCATTAGATATATGAGAGTTTAATACATACGAACATTATTCATCATAAAATGTTCGTCACGAAAAAGTTTTATATTATTTAAAATCTCTTCGTACACAACATTATGAGTTTGATTATTGGGTAACTCGTTTTGAGGAGCACAGACCGGACGCGGGCTGCACAAAGGGTTGCGGAAACAGGGCCTCACTCAACTGGGCTCCCTTGTTGGGCTTCTTTCTTGGGCTGCGGATGCTGATTGTTGTCATCGAAAAAATTCCCCCACGCTTGGACTACTTTTTTAATTTCCAACTGTTTTATAAATTATATTTTATTCCTACTTTAACTCTTTCATGTCTATTCTATGTAGATAGTTATTTTACATTATCAGCTATACTAATAAAGTATATTTTTAATTTGAATCATATAACTTCCTTAATAGTGAGTTGAATAACTTACAGATTGAAACATAATTTAATGATTCCCTCTAATTTCTCTCCCCTCTCCCCTTTTCATATTCCATATTTCACAATTTTCTCCAAATAAAACAAAAAATTACATACAAAAATTATTAGATTGACAATCAAATAAATTAAAATAAGACTGTAGATAAACGTAAGTTTTTCCTTAATAATTTTTATATTTTTTTTAAAAAAATATTAATTGCAATGTTCAGGTTCGACACAAAATTAGTTTGTTGTTTTTTATTAATTGTTTATGAATTTATCTTAATTTTTGTTCAATGTTATCCTT